AGTTTCTGCAGTTGGTGTCTCACCCATTGACTCCTCAATCTACATTTTCACTGACTATCTGTCTTGTATGCATACCAGACCAGCCTCTGGCTTCTTTACTTTTCATTCCATCCAGGAAGAGCACACACCAAATGCAGAAACTTCCTTGACCTGACAAAGGGTTTTTGAACCCAAAAGTTTGCTTAATAATTGTTTTCCAACTATTTAAGTTGGTCTAATAAAAGATATCAGATTCACCCAAAGAACCTTGTCTGTCTATGTCCTTAGACCAACACAGCTACAACCTACACCCCTAAAATCTACATGCTTTCTGGTACTTCCTGAAAATTTGACCCGTCTCATAGGGTACAGGATAGGGTTTGCAACCCAAATTCAGTCACCAGAAAAGGCTCCTGAGGGAGCAGCATTTCTTAAACTCCACTTCTAGGACTCAGGCTATGGCTCTGATTGTCCCCCAAACACTGCTCAGCATTTGCCCCTGCTAATGTGTGGCATCTTTAACCCTTCAATAAAGCAAGGCTGAAAGCATTACATAAAAAAGAGTTTAACTCTCCATTAGTGGACACTAAACACTCATGTGTCTCATGAATGCACAGAAAAGCGAGCCAAGAGGTTTTTGAGTGAGGCAGCATTACCTGGCCAGTTCAAGAGTACACATTTCTCCTTATGTTAAAAAACATTAAGGAATCCCCTTCCAAGAATTGTTAAGGCAGAACACAGAACTAGAGCTATGCAGTAGGAACCACTGCCTTCCAGAAAGTCAAGCTGAACAAACCTACTTCTCAAAGCCAAGAAATCCACAATTAAGCTATACATTAACACAACCTTAACTCTGCCATTTTTGAGCAATGCCTCAGGATGCCCATCACACACACACACTTGTACTCTGTCTTTGCAGACAGTGCACAATGTTCAGAGAGCAAGGCACCTGATGACTATAGGACAGTCTAACCCCTTTTTGCTTATGTTTGTATGAGCTGAATAAGAGCTACCTACCATTTTCATGTACGTGCTAAAATTTACAACCACCACCCCAACACACAGGATACCATTAAACTTTACCCTTTCCCTTCCTATCATTAAATCATAGATCACTCATATGCTACCCTGCTGCTGACAATCCCTATTAGCAAGGTAAGCCCTGTGCACTGCTACAAATAAAACCTTCAGTTCTCTGTGCTGAAATGAGGCATAAAGACTTCTCTTTAAGCGCACATGCACATCTTCCTTGTCAACGTGGCTCACTTTGAAATCTCTCCTTCTCTGCCATGCCTTGATGAAGTGATACTTTCAGAAAAGGGAGGCTGCCCCAAAGCTTCCCAAGCCTGATCTCACATTCCTGAGCTTAGGTGTCTCCACTCTCTGCCTTATGGGCTAATAGTGTAGGCTCTGTCCTCCCCAATACCCATACCTCACAGATGTCACATATTAAACAAATCATAACTGTCCCCATGGGCTACAGGCTCCTGGCTCTGCTCATCCAACATCTCATGGGAAGAGCACACAGCCAAATCTGACCAGTCACATAGCATCCTCACATGCATTGATGACCTCTACCTAACGCAAGAGGTCTACAGGCCAACTAGGGGAGAGGCACTGCTGGATCTGGTTCTGGCCAAAGGGGATGATCTGGTGAACGATCTGAGGGTTGAGGGGAAGCTTGGTGACAGTGACCATGAACTGATCACTTTCTCAGTAAAACAGACATCATCAACTTTGGGAAGGCCAGCTTTCAAAAACTCAGGAGGCTGGTCAACCAGGCACTCAGAGACCATGGCCCTTTAGAAAGGGGAGCCCATGAGGAATGGTTGTTCCTTAAGAATATAATCCTCAAAGCACAAGGAAAGTCCATCCCATCCCAAAGGAAATGCAGTCAGCAGGCTGGGGTGCCCCCTTGGCTCAATAGGGAACTTTTGAACTTCCTGAAGCTAAAGAGAGAAGTCTACACCAGATGGAAAATGGAAATCATCACCAAGGAGGACTACACAGCACCAGTCCACACCTGTAGAGAGCAGACCAGAAAAGCCAAGGCAGACACCAAACTAAGGCTAGCCACAGGAATCAAGGACAACAAAAAGTCCTTCTTTAAATATGTGGGAAGTTGGAGGAAGAACAAAGGCAACACTGGACCCTTGCTAAATCAAATGGGGCAGCTGACAACTGATGCTCAGGAAAAGGAAAATCTCCTAAAAGATTAATTTGCATTGGCTTTCACCCATCCAAAGGGGTCACCCTGTCAGATAGGGCACAAAGCATCCAGGGGATGGGAGATGGGCCCACAATTGATGTTGATCAAGCGAGGGAACACCTCGAAAGACTCAACATCCACAAGTCCATGGTCCCAAATGGTATGCACCCAAGAATCCTGAAGGAGCTGGCAGACATCATAGCATGCCCTATGGCAAAGATATTTGAGAACTTGTGGTGCTCAGGAGAGGTACCAAAGGATTGGAAAACAGCCAATATGGTTCCAATCTTCAAGGAAGGAAGAAAAGACGACCCAGGGAATTACAGACCAATCAGTCTGACACCCATCCCTGGAAAGATCCTGGAGAAACTTATCACAGTTTCCATCAGCAGCAGGATATCGGAAAGCAACTCTGAGTGCCAGCCAACATAGCTTTGTTGCTGGAAGGTCTTGCCTGATCAACCTCGTCTCCTTCTATGACCAAGTGACACATTGCCTGGACAAGGGAGACAAGGTTGATGTCATATCTTGATTTCAAAGAAGGCCTTTGATTGGTTTCCCATGATGTCCTCATGGCTAACCTGGAAAACTGAGGCCTCAACCATCTCACAGTCCAATGGTTGGGGAACTAGCTCCACGGTGGGACCCAAAGAGTACTGGTTGATGGGAGCAAGTCAACATGGCACAAGGTGACTAGCACTCTTCAACATTTTCATTAATGAACTGGATTCGGGTGTCAGATGCAGACTGGCAAAGACGGCAGATGACACTAAACCATGGGGGAAGGCAGTCACACTGGAAAACAAGTTGGGGATACAGGCTGACCTGGACAGGCTTGCAAGGTGGGTGGACCAAAACCTGATGGCATTTCATGCAGAGAAGTGCAGGGTACTCCACCTTGGGAGGAAAAACCAGCCTCCTACTTGTAGGCTCAGCAGTGCTACACTCACTAGCACCATGACCAAAAGAGACTTGGGGGTCTTGACTGACCACAAGATGAACATGAGCCATCAACGCGATGCCGTGGCCGGCAAAGCAAACCAAACTCTGACATGCACCCATCAACGCATCTCAAGCAAAACCAGGGATGTCATCCTCCTACTGTACTCGGAGTTAGTGAGGCCGCAGCTGGAGTACTGCATCCAGTTTTGGGCCCCACACTTCAGGAGGGACATGGATAAGTTTGAGTCCAGAGGAGAGCCACCCACATGATGAAAGACCAAGAGCCTTCCAAGGAGAGGCTGAGGGACATGGGACTCTTCAACCTGGAGAAGAGAAGGCTCAGGGCGGACTTGGTGGCAGTCTATAAGTACATAAGGGGGGGTACACCAGGATCTGGGAGAACTGTTGTTTACCAGGGCTCCCCAAGAGATAAAAAGGTCTAAAAGCCACGAACTTCTGGAAGGCCGATTTAGACAGGACATAAGGAAAAGCTTCTTTATAGTCTGAGTGTCCGGTGTATGGAACAGACTCCCCCCAGAGATGGTGCAAGCACCTACTCTGGACACATGAAAATGGAATTTGGATGCTTATCTTGCAGGGGTCATTTGACCCTAGCAGACTTCCTGCCTATGGCAGGGGGGCTGGACTTGATGATCTCGCGAAGTCCCTTCCAGCCCCTAATGTCTATGAATCCTTACACCAGCCCCTATCTGGGCTACAGGCACTCTGGACCCCCAGTCTCCAGCTGTCCTTAGACCCTGGCCCTGCTCCTAGGCCAGTTGAGACCCATGGGCTCTCCAGCCCCACCAGTCTCCAGCTGTGGCCCTTCTTGGCTTCCTGCCCTGACTGAGCCCTGGCCCCACTCCTAGGTCAGTGAAACCTATGGACAACCTGATGCTACTCGCTCCAGGCCTCTGCTCTCTCTGAGCCCTCTAGCCCCTGCTCTCTCTGGGCCCTCTTGACCTCCAGCTAGGACCTCCTTACCTCCCTTTAGTCCTTTCCATAAACCACCAGTCAGATGTTACCCAGGAGCTCCTCTCCATAGCTCTCAGGGCTAGACTGCCTGTCCTGCTCCAGCTCTGAGCTTATATCCTGATAGCCCAGCCTCTATAGGCCATGTGACTCCAGACAGCTGCAGGTTACTTCTCAGGCAGCTTGCCTTCGCTTAAAGTAACAGAAGCATCAGGCCTTCTGCTACAGAGAGAGGGATTCAAAGGCTCCAGAATCTCCTGCCCGATTTTCTCACATCACAACTGCAGGTCCTTCAAGCTGTTCCAATTAACCCCTCTAGGATGCCATACTGCTACACCTAATCCAGCCAACAGTTAGACTGCCTTCAGGCAATTCCCAAGACCTACTGACAACTCTAAAGGGGGAAAGA